GTATAGTGCTGCTCCGGTATCAAGTGTTGCTACAATATTGATTATTACTGCAGTATAGTGCTGCTCCGGAATCAAGCGTTGCCACAGTGCTCAGTGCCTGTAGTCTCAGCACAAGCAAAGTGCGGCGGTCACTTGCCAACGTGTGGCGCACACAGCTGCTGCCTCGAGCATCAGGTTTCTCCATTGGGACTGAATGCAGACCAGGTAGCCTGCGCCGCCGTAGGAATGTGGAATGTGACCCAGCACCTTCCTGATGGAGGGTTGTCAGCTTGTAAATATTCAGAAAGATAAAGTCGGAAGGATCGCTGTCGACACTCTGACCAAGTGTAGCGTTTGCTCCCAGCAGCGCTCTCTGTGCAGGGCCCTTTCAGCAGACAGGAGTGAGATGCTTGGGGCGGGTGAGTGGTTGGAATGCGGTGCGTGGGCGGGCCCTGAGGAGAAGTCGTCTTCTGGGCTGGTGGCCACGTCAGCTGCTGTGGGCGCTCGGACGAAAGGCACGGGCTTGGTTGGTGGGAAGCGCAGTCCAGTGCCAGCCTCGCGCAGGTGATGCGGTCTCTCTGGCCTCGTGTCTTCTCTTTCGACCCAAGAAAATGGATGGAGCAGCTTCTCAGGCTGCTCTCTCCTCCAGAGCCTGTTGTTCTGGGGACGCCGTCTCGTGACATCTCCTCCAACACAGGCCGCTGGCTCGTAAGTGGTTGCCACCTCAGGAACCCTGTGTCCACCTGAGATGTTTACCTAGAGTTGAAAAAGGCTCAGTGTATTTTTTACCAGTTTAACTTGCCCGTCTTACTGCCAAGACAGATTGTTGGGATCATTGTGTGGTAACATTCTCAGCATTTGGGAGCGTGAATGGCAGATAGTCACTGTTCTGTAGGCAGAGAGGAGCCGCCTCTCGTTTGCTGAAAGCCCGATGCCGGTAGAACCAAACCTGAAGACAGGCCTGTACCAAAGCGTGAAAACTATCCCCCGCGAGGAGCAAAGGTGTCGAATACTCACGCCCTCCTTTGGCAAGTGGGGATTTAGAGAGATTAATCGCATGGCAGGGTTCCGAAGGCCGCAGGGAAACTGGGATAAGATAGAGCACACATGGAAAAGTCCAGAGCCATGTAAGGTAGTTTACAAAAGTGACATTCGGCATCTCATGGTACGGGGTTTGGGTTTGGGTTTGTTTTTTTTTTTAATTGTTCAGGTTGGCTTTTAAAAAATGTTTTTCATGTGCTTATTGTCCATTTTTATATCCTGCTTGGAGAGAGGTACAGAGATCTTAAAGGTAGAAGACCCAGAGTTCTAGATTGATCAGGAATGACTTTATGGAGAAAGTAGGACTTGTGATTGGTCTTGAAGATGAGAACAAAACAGCAAAAAAAAAGACAACTTGAAGAAAACAGTTATGTAGAGAGAGATTTTTTCAAAAAAGTTGCACTATTGCAAAGAAATAGGAAGATAGTTTATTTAGAAAATAATTAGGAGCACTAAGAAATTTTAAAAAGTGACAGATAGCAAGAAATTAAAATTCAAGAGAAGAACTGAAGATAAAGTTGAAGAAATCCCCCAGTGAGGAAAACAAAACTATGGGGAAAATGTAGGAGAGAAAAGATATGACATTGATAAAACCAGCCCAAGAAGTATGACATCCAAACAATTGTAATTACAGAACAAAAGAAAGGAAAAGACAATAAGGATAAATAGTACAGTAAGCAACCCAGAGAGTTGCCCTGAGCTGACTTTCAGATCGACGCAGCCCACCAGGTGCTCAGGGCAGAGACAGAAGCCCCCCTTCCGCCTCCCACCGCGTCCCTGAGGCGGACTCCGAACAGGAAGCAGGGCAGGGTGGTGGGCAACAGCTGCCTTGGCGCCACCACAGTCCCGGGTCGGCACTTCGCCTTGACCCCGCGCCCTCGCTAGGCTGAAGATGCTGCCGCCTTTTCCACATGGGTTCTGTCGGTCTGGGAACATTCCAGGCGGGGGGGCTTTGTTGTCTCTCCCGGAGCGCTCGTCTGTGCTGGTCGACACCAGCCCGAGGGACTCTGGATGAGACGCGGCTGCGAGCCAGGCCAGCTCCTCCGGCAGCTGGCGCCACAGCATCAGTGGGCAGGCCCGGCAGCACCAGCCTTCCTCACGGGCAAGTCTCTCCTTCAGGGCACTGGCCCCTCGGCGGCGGCACGGTGCACACAGGGCGCGGGCGCAGCAGGGCCCACGCTCTGCAGGTGAGCTCCGGGAGCGCCTTCCGAGGCCCCGCTTTGAGCCGCTCCAACTCTGGGTCTCGTAGCCCAGGACGCACTGTGGGCTTGAGCCGCTTCTTGAGTCCTGGGCTGTTTCCGTGTGGACCTGTATTTTGCCACGTGGACAGTAGATACCAGGAACTGGTGGTCAGTAAGAGTGGATCACATGGAGAGGAGACAAAGCGGAACTTGTTTGTAGTTGGACTGCATTTTATTTACAGTTTACTTGGAGGAATATGGAAAAAACACTTGAGCATCAAAGCATGTGAACTGGGAGAAGACGGTGGAAGTTTGAGAGCAGGCACTTCCGAACCATTGAAAACTGAATGCAGCTGCTTACACAACGAAGGAGAAGGAAGTAAAGGCCCCGGGTGAAAACAGAGGGGCGGTCTTCGGGCCCTGACCTGAGCGCCCACCTGCGCGGGCCCAGCCACAGGGAGCCGTCCAGAGGGCGGCAGGGGTGCGCGGGGAGCCGAGTGTGCGGGCGCGAGAAGAGAGCGCCGCCCAGGCCTGCCTCAGGGCTGGGTCTGTGCCACGCGAAGAAGCGCCCAGGGCCACGCTGAGGAGGGGTGTTTGGGCAGCGTCACTGAAGTGCACAGAGACAGCAGGTGCTGCGTCATTCCCAGCGGCCTGGGGTGTCCCTGGTGAAGGGCTGGCCTGGCCAACGGCATCAGCGACAAGGCCCGTCGCGGGGCCTCCGATGCAGAAGAGCAGCGCCCGGCCATGTGCGGGCCAACGAGAAGGGAGGTGAGGGACGTGGGAGGTGCCCACAGCCACGGTGGCCCTTGAGGTCGTGGGCAGGCCCAGGAAAGCAAAACTGCGCGTTTCCTGTGATATTTGCTGATGTATCGCGTGGACACACTCGGAGCAGATGCATCAAACAGCGGGCTCAGGTCGAGAGCCGTCTGGTGAGAAGGAGAGGGGTGGGGCCTTCGACTTGACTAGGAGTCGGGTGGCCATGCAACACAACAGGGCAGCACATGCGAGGGGACCAGTTCTTCGGCCCCATGTGGGCCCTTCAGAGTCCTCTGGCCCGGATTCTCCCCAGACGTGTAAAGATTTCCTTACAAATAATCTCAGAGTCCTGTCTACTTCATGTTAGAAATACCATATACAGCAGCATGTTTTCAGATTTTTTTCTGGTTATAATGTTGTTCTTGTTTGGATTAGTGTATTTTTAAGAGGTGATGACCTTTCAGAGGCACATGCCCAATCCCCGGGTGTCCCGTAGGCGAGTGGCACGGCCTGCATCCTTTCCTCCCCAGCCCCTGCCCCCAAACGCCCCAGGCCCCTTGCCATCGCCTGCCTCGCCCACAGGTGGGACTGCGCCCTCACCTCGCTCCCCGCCTCCCGCGAGGAGACCTGAGACGCGCGGGCAGTCCGCGAGCCCTCCGACCCGCACCGCTGCCCCGCAGCCGCTGTCCCCTGCCCACCCCCGCCTGCCCTCTGAGCTCCAGTGTTCTGTTTTCCATTTAGTTTCCTAAAACTGCCATGCTCCCTCTCACATTAATGTCTGCAAATCCTGTTTTGCTTACAATGTGTAGAAATGGTATCTTTTTCTCCCCTATGTTGTGTGCATCTCCTTCCAAGCCCATCTCCAGCATCGCCTTTGGGGGACTCCCTGGCTCCCTTGACAGAGTGCCCCCTATTTACTTTTATCTTGATATTTATCACGGTTTTGCCCACTCATTCAACAGCTATTTACCAAGTGCCCACCCATGGCAGGCACTTGGCGCGCCGTGGTGAATGGTGAGGAGGGTCTGAGGCGGTGAGACCGGCACTGCGCAGCCCTCCGGCGGGCCCCCGGGCACCTGGGGCCGAGCGCGTGAGCCCTCTCCTCGAGTCCGCGACACCGCGCGGCCCCGCCCTGCAGTGGACGGGCCTCGGCCGAGCGCAGGTGTGGCCGCTGCCAGGTCCAGAGGCCGCGGGGCCCCCGCCCGCTGAGCGATGGGGCTCACACCTCGCAGTTCAGACCGGGGGTCCGCCCACGGCCTGTTTGTTCTTTTCCCCGTAGTCCTTGCTCTGGTGCACAGGGTTCCCAGGGAGGAAGCTGCAATGAGCAACATGGCTTTGGACAGTTTGTTCAAAGAGACGTGAGCTCCTGCCGCGAAGGCCTTGCCCGCGCTGGCGCCTGTCGCAGCGTGATTTAGGGCGACTGCACCGGCGCTGAGCTCGTTTCCGGGACGCTGGGGCCGGACCAGCACAGCCCGCGCCAGCGCAGCCTGCACCACTGGGAACGGCGCGGGGGCTCCTGCCAGCAGGTGTGCGCAGGTCACTGCGTCCGAAGACTCATTGTGTCCGTGGAAGGTACAGCACCGCGTACACCAAAGCTGTTTCACAACGCGTCACAGTGTGCACGAGCTAGCGCTTCTTTTCAAACGCGCCTCGCTGTGCTCGTGGCGGCGGCGGCTGGGACGCGGCCTGCCCGGCGCGAGGGGCTCTCCCCTGGTTGGCGATGGGGAGGCAGCGCTGGGGGCTGGGAGGCTGGGCCTCACACTGATGGCAGCCGGGCACAGGCAAGTGGGGCTTCGTGGGACACTGCCCCAGCAGCAGACCCCGGCAGACGGGGCGCCCGCGTGCCTGCCTGTGCCCTCCCGGCCGAGGTGCGGCAGCGCTCACGCCAGACCTCAGCGCTCTGCCTACCGCAGAGATACCACTGCTCTGATCTTCCAAGACAGTAACACGGCCCGTCTCTCTCTCCTTCCCTCTCTTCTTCCCTCCCTCCCTCCCTCTCTCTCTCTCTCTCTCTCTCTCTGTCCTCTCTCTCTCTCTCAACAGTGTGTACGGTTGCCCCTTGGCCAAAAAAAGAAAAACACAAGACAAACAGCCCCAAGAGCCTGCCCCCAAGCGGAAGGCGTTCGCGGTGAAAGCAGACAGCTCGTCGGTGGACGAGTGCTACGAGAGTGACGGGACCGAAGACATGGACGAGAAGGAGGAGGACGAGGAGGAGGGCTACTCGGAGGACGAGGAGGAGGACGAGGAGGGGGACCGCGAGGACGAGGAGGAGATCGAGGAGGACGACGAGGACGAGGACGAGGACGGAGAGGACGTGGAGGAGGAGGAGGACGAGGAGGACGAGGAGGAGGACGAGGAGGACGAGGAGGAGGACGAGGAGAACGGTAATCCCGACAATGCGCGCAGGCGCCCCGCGGTGGTGCGGGCCAGGTCTGCGGCGGGAACCCCTGCTGTTACCATTGGTGTCTCGCAGCGATTGCCGCCTGAACGAGTCTGCCTGGTCGGTGCAGGGAAGAACGGCCACCTACCTGTCTTCCGCTTTGGTTTAAAGGGTTCCTTTAAACGGTTTAGATGTTCGATTTTATTTCCATCAGCTGTTTCTCAGATTGGTTGTCACAAAAGTTTGCTGAGACAGTGTCAGTGTGCACGTCTGATGAGCTCAGCAACTTCCGTCCAGGAAGCTGAGTTAGCTCACCTGGGTGCCCGTTTCGCATGGTCTTGGGTCCTAACCAGCAGGGGCTGTTACAGGCCAAAAGAGCACTGTTGGGCGCTCCGTGAACACGCCTCCCGGGGCAGCGCCCTGGAGCAGCGACCGGCGGGGGCAGGCGCCGCACCCGTGCACGGCCCGTGTCCCCGCAGCGCCTGCCCGTCGGGGACAAGGAGGCATGCTGCCGACGCGCAGCCCTGAACGGCGTGCGTTTGCTGCGTGTGGGGAAGGGCACTCCTGCTCTGCAGCCCCCGGTGCCATGGTGCCGCGCGCCAAGCCCCGCACCGGGCAGTGGGCGCAGCCGGGGCAGTGCATTCTGGGCGACACTGCTCTGTGCCCAGTTTTCTGTTAGTGTCTGACTCTAACGTGACTTCAGAACCAACCCTTTGTGAAAGTCATGTCTATTCCAGCAAGTGGAAATTGTCTGCAGAGTCTTCATTGGCTTAGCATTTGCCTCAGAAATGCCACAACATCTTGTAAAGTGCAGGGAATTGTTTTCTCCAACGCTTCTGCCTTGGGCTCGAAGCTGACCAGGGATCTGAGCCTGGGGGCAGCTGGCGTCTCAGGGTGGAGGGGTGCTCGGCCTGTGGAGCAAACGTCGTTAGGCCCAGTGGGCGGCGGCTGCTGGTCGCTCGCGGTGGCAGCAACGAGCATTCCTCCTCCGAAGGTCCTAAGAGTTTGTCCCAGGACACCTGAACTTTATGACACAGTCCAAGGTTCTTACCATGGCTTATGGTCCTCGGGGGGAGTTGGCCGCTTGGATTCACACGGGGACACGGGCGTGTCTGCGTGTACATGCACATGCGTAGATGCGCACGCAGTTCCGTCTTCCTGGGTGGTTTTTCTTGTTGCAGAGCGCGGGTTGGGTGGGACGGAGCCCCCAGGCAGAGGCACTGCGGGCCCTGGGTCCCTGAGGAGACAGACGGCGGGAGCGCCGGTCTCAGACGGGAAGCAGGAGCTCTGCGCAGTAGAATAGGTGGGGAGTTGGAGGACAGACCACTTGGGCAGGATGTTTCTGGACACTGCATGCAATGTGTGTGGCTGTGAAGGAAATCGTGAGTCTTCGGGGCTGACGAATGGCCCGTGGGTGGCCGGGCCTCGTTGCCAGGGCCGCGTGCGCATTGCTCTTCCGTGCCCGTGCCTGGCGGACTGCAGGGGCAGCAGGGCCCGGAGCCGGGGTGCTTGTGCGAGCCCCCGGTCGGTGCGGGAGAGGGCGGTGCGTACGCGTTGCTTAACCAAGCACCTTAGCCAGGCTTTAGGCTCTGCTTTCCATTCGCTGGAATTAAACTCCCAGTCTTAGCTTATTTAGGGCCACATTTTAAATAATCTACTTCTAAAGCTATGATACCTTTTGTGAAACCAGTCACAGCATTATTGAAATGGCTTTACAATGTGGCTACATGGGGCTTTTTAAATTCTAATTTAATAACATAACTTTTTATAAGTGGAATATGAAATCAAAACTCATGAGTTGTTAGCAAATGCAAGGCCGCAGCGCGATGCCCCGCAGCGTGAGGGCACCATGAGGCCAGCAGCTGCCCGGCTCCCCTGTCGGCCCGGTGGCTGAGTCCTGGGGCCCAGCTGGCACAAGACCAGCACCCAGCAAGCACAGAGTCTGGACCTGAAACATGTTAGGAAGCAGGTTCCAGAAAGCAGTGCCCTGAAGAGAGCAACAGTCAGTTGCTGGGTGTCTGGTTTCAGGGCTCACACCCCGCATCCGGAGCCCCAGGTGAGCACCTTGTGGAAGTGTCTATCACGTGAGCTGTAGGGGCTCACCTGGACCTCCTGCAGGAGGTCTCGGCGTGCGGGGCGCTATGGCATCCGCAGGCGGCCACTGTGCGGTGTGACGTGCGCCCCGCGGCTCCAGGCCCCGGGCAGCAGAGCTCGCTGGTGGACTCCCACCTCGAGAGCCTCCCGCACTGGGTCCCAGGCAGCCGTCCGGGCCTGGGGCACAGCCTCAGGGGGCACAGCCTCAGGGGGCACAGCCTCAGGGCGCACAGCCTCAGGGGGTACCTCTGCTGTGGCCCGGCTGCCGCAGGCCTCGGCAGGGGGCTTCCATCAAAGGAGAGGACCCCTCAGAAGAAACCGCTGCAGGACCCAGTTCCTGGAGGGGGCCACCGGGCCTCCTGTCCCGGGGCGACTGTGCCGTGGAGGAGCCTCCCGAGCAGTCGACCCAGGGCCCCACAAAGCCACTGTCACGTGCAGCTCTCTCAGGCGGGCTGTCCCCTCGCCATTGTGCAAACGCTCGGGGTCAGAGTCTGCAGGGAGAGTCTAGATCGGAGGGCCTGTACAGTCTTCGGGGCCAAACACTCGTTTTACGAGATCGCACTCCCAGCTTCGTGTGATTTAGTAAAATCGGCTCCGCAAGGCCCCTGTCAGTCTCCTGGTTGCATATCCTCGCCCACCAAGTGGCTCTTTCTCCCGGCTGCGCAACCCAGCGCTGCCACCACTGTCAGCTCCTGCGACCTCCTGCCTCTCACAGCAGCACCTTAATAGGAGAGGTGCAGCGGGTGCAGGCTGTCCCACAGGGCGCACCTGTCCCCTCCGTACGCACATGTGGCAGGGGATGGGCGTGTCTGGAAACGGGCTTGTACCCGTTTGTGTGTAGCGACCAGAGTCCTGGTCGCCGTCTCGAAGCCGGCCCTTCGTGTCCTTGGTCCACACTCTTGGCCCCGGGCTGTCGGCAGGCTTTCTTCGGGGAGGGCCGTGCCTTTCCTGTGGCAGGTGGGGCGCAGACAGCAACCGCACGTTAGCAGAGGCGCCGCGGAGCCCTGGCGGCCGGAGAGGCCTGCTTCGCTCTCCGTCGGCGGCCACATCCGTGTCCACACGTGATGCGTGGCCATCTAGCTTGGGACAGGCGCTGAAGCCCTGCAGCCGGCGTGGACACCAGCCCTGGGAGCCGCTGCACAGCTGGACAGTCTCCGCGGCAGGTCGCCGTGCCCACCCACCAGCGCCGCGGCCCCTCCGGCCGGTGCTGGGATGGGGCTTTTGGGGAGAGGCTCATTTTAAAGAGAACGAGTGTATATGGGCCACGGGACTGTTACAGGAGGAGGCCACAGGCCTCGGAGGGACCGTCATCTCTAGCGTGGGGACCAGGTATGCCCGTCCGCACCCGAGGCTCGGCAGGGCGGGGTCACTCCCGGAAGTGGGCGCCCTGTGGCCACACGCCGATGGCGGCTCTTCTGCCTTCAGAGCTCAGTTCCCCTTCATGCTTCCTGTCTTCTGAACAGCAGGGAGAGTATCTCTGTAATTCATTTCAGGTGACATTAAGTTCCCATTTAATCAATTAAAATGATAGTTATTGTCCAGTCGATATACCATGGGCTGGTCTTCTGCATGAAAAGTTTTATTTTCAGAATGCCTTTCAGTGCCTGCATTTATTGAGTGGAAGTTCCCTTGTTGTCCTGACAGTAAGAGAGTTACTGCTCAGGCGTCCTAGACTTTTCTAATAGTGGGTGTTGTGCGTGGGGTGATTTTGGATTCTCGTGATTTCAGAGATGTAGCTAAAATGCTTATCTAGTGTCTAGTGAGCTATGGTTTATTTTATACTTCAGCACACGAAAAAGAAAACACCTTTAAATAATACATATACACATACGTGTATCTTGGTGAGCACATACTGTTTATGCCCCCTGACATGACAGAAAATTCCAGGGGGAAGAACAGCAACTCGCTTTCCAGCCTGGAGAAAACTGTCATATTTCTGCCATCTCAGCCACATGCCTGTGTCTTACTGTGTTCTGTTTCTGAAACACATTTTAAACACGCGCGTTCTTCCCCTCCCGAGTGAAGCGCGGCTGTCCCGGACAGCTGACTCGCAGGACAGCCCACCTGACCGCTGGGTGAGGCCCGATAAAGCCAGAGGCTTCCCCGCCTCAAGGCCTGCTGCTCCCTTCAGCGTGGCCTTCTCCACGCACTGGCCTCAGACGTGCAGTGCGTTCTTGGAAGTGCACATCGAAAGAAGAATTGGGCGGTTTGTGGGAAAACGTGAATAATTATGTTAAGAAACTTTTGCAAGTAGGACACAGTTGCCCCAGGCAAGGCCTAACAGGCTGAGCGGAGTGAGAAGGAACGCGTGGGCGGCGTCCACAGGGCGCTGTGTTAGCCACTGCCATGCGCCCCCCCACCCCCCGCTGCAGCCATCAAAGCGTCGAAGCGCTGTGGGCGGGGCCTGTCCAGCCAGGCCTGGCTGTCCTCGCTGCCCCGCCGCAAGCAGGTCGGTCCCACACGAGGGCCGACAGGGAGCTGGCAGGCTGTGTCCTCCCAGCACTAAATCAACTCTCTCTGAAGCAAATTTAAGAGAAAATCTGCCCTGTGTATATTCTTCCTCACAGGAACAAATACTGTTTTGAAAAAACTTGCAAAGACCTCAGAGCACTTTTCCTTTCAAACAGGGCGGTGCGCTGGGCCCAAGTCACCGAAGCACCGTGACAGCTGCAGCAGGCCGGCCCGGCCTCCGCCGGACAGCAGCAGAGCGCGGGCGGCGGGTCTGCCCTGTGGCCTCTGCCTCCCGGGCCCCCTCTAGGACGTCCTTCTTGTGTCGATTAGCCAATTACCCTCATCCGCCGTCCTCGGGGACCTGTCCCCGCGGAGGGAGGCGAGCCGCAGTGCGGGCGGACCGTGAAACCGGAGTCGGCCTGCCCGCTCCCTGCCGCGGTCAGCAGGGAGGCGGGGCTT